TCTTTTTTTTTTTTTTTCAGCCTAATATGTCTTACCATTAAGTTCTTACCTGTCATTATTCAATAGCCTCTTCTTCACTTTTACAAAAATAGCACTCCAACTATCGGGGTGCCTGCCTGGGGGGCTCAGTCGGTTAAGTGTACAACTTTGGTCCAGGTCACAATCTCACGGTTCGTGAGTTCGAGCCCCCGCATCAGACTCTCTGCTGTCAGCACAGAGCCTGCTTCGGATCCTCGCCTCCCTTTCTCTGCCCCTCCCCCCACTCTCAAAAATAAATAAGCATTTTACAAAAGAGCACTCCAGCTCTTAGAAAGTTAAGAGCAAAAGCTACTTCATTTTTTCTGAATGTTGTAAATACCATAATTACTACATTAAGTGCAATGAACTAAAAAGGTGGTATTTTTCCTGTTCTTTACTCCATAGCATTATTGCAAAATTCCATTCCACCTCCTCTGTTTTTTAAACATAATTACTTGTCTTTGCCCAGAAGCCAAAATAAATAACACTGAAATTGAAAATGTAGCTTCAGAATATTCCTGAAGCCAAAGGGCATTTTTGAGCTTGTTTTTCTGATGGATAAAGGAGAACGTATGTTTACACACACAGACAGGATACACTCCGATATGGGAGAGACCAAACGTGGTGCACCATACAAGCATGGGCTAGTACAGACATGCCTGTGTCCCTGACGCCCACACGACAGAGGACGAGCAGTGAGAGGCAATGCCTGTGCTGGCTATGCCCTGGCAAACCACTCATGCTGTGTCTACTTTAGAAGGATGGGGGTTTTCTATCATTTTATTGTAGGGTTCTCATTTTTACACTGTTGCTTTTACATGAAGCTGTTTCAAAGTATCAGAATGCATACAGGCTGGCTCAGTCAGGGGAGTGTGCGACTCTCGATCTCAGGGTCATGAGTTCCAGCTCCATGGTACACGTAGAGATTACTTAAATTAAAAAAAAAAAAAAAAAAATCCAAACAGAGCATCCAGGCAGCCCACATATTCTCCTAACTCCATAACATATAGCTCTCCTCTTTTTATTTAGGACAGCAGTACCATATGTCCAGACTTCAGAAAGACAGGAATTTTCTCAGGAGACTAGTTAGCAGTTTAGAAAATACATATTTATCCATATGTACATATGTAGTAATCACATCCCAATAGTATAACTTCTGCGACAAATAGATTCAATTCAAAGAAAAGCAACACAGATCTTTTATATTTCAGTTTTAATAGAATTCATATTTCCAATTAGTGCAGTTAAAGACAATCTGAATGGGTGTATTTAAATATTATTTAAAAGAATTGTAAAAGTGGACTTCATACAGGATTATTCAAAGAAATATATTACTTAAATCATTTCTCACCAGTACTCTGAGACATAATTTACGTAATTAAATCTTTAATTCATACCTATATGGAATATTAACCATATAAGAAATAATATAATAAGCATAAAAGAATAGCATACTTTTTTAATATTCTATTTACGTTGTGTGATTTAAGCATTGTTTTAAAACATTTCAAATTACTCCATACACAAAGATAAACCAAGAAAGACTTCGTTGTACGGAAGGACACAACTAATCAATTATTTCTGTAAAATCTCAGATGAGATTTTCATCTTAATACAGCATAAAATTAGATGCTTCCCCTCTTCGTACAGTTAGCATGATTCCAGGCACTTTTTCCTTCAAGCTGCATTTGTATTCTTAAGCAATGCCTATCAGGGAGAAGAAGAAAAATGTCATTTATAATCTGGTTTTTAATGTACTTAAAAATATGTATAGTTTTAATATAGTCATATTTTATTTTATTTTGCTTAAAGAATCTGTGGGCTCAATGCATAATCTAATCCTGAGAATATAGGCTAATGTGTGTGTGGAAGGGAAAAGGGTCAATCAGTACTTTTAGATACTTTCAATTATGACTTCCCCACTAAAGTGTTATGATATCTAAATAAACTGAAAAATGAACTTGGCATCACCTAAACAACTTATAAATATTCCTAAAACGTAGTAATCTGTAATTCTGTGTTTCTAATACCTTGTTAAATAAATAATGAGAAACACATACTCCTATAGAGGAAATCACTAAACCTCTAAACTCTACAGTTTCCAAGGGGGGTATTTATCAGCTCTGTCTTCCACGAATCTAGTCTCAGGGGAAGTTAGCCGGTAGGCAATATTTTGTATTACAGCACAGTACTTGTTTTTTGAGAACTTTTGCAGTTAATATGTTGTTTTGGACTTTATGTTTATTTACTCATTCACATAAAATATGTTAAAACCAAGAAAGATAAATGTGGCTTGATTTAGGTAATTTCAACAGCCTAATGAATCTTCTTTATTTGTACATGTTTTACATTATTCACAAGGTTTGAGATAGATTGAGAGTAATTAATTCAAGTTCCTTGCCATTGAATGCTAAAATGATCTAGCTCATTTTCTTAATCTAAAAAAGAGAATTTTTAAAATTTAGCAACTAAAAATATGCAGAATTAAGAGTGCCCATTATTATTAATTTACCATCACTATTTATTTATTTATTTATTTATTTATTTATTTAAATGTTTATTTATTTTTCAGAGAGAGACAGAGTGTGAGAGGGGGAGGGGGAGGGAGAGAGGGAAACACAGAATCCAAAGCAGGCTCAAGACTACCAGCTGTCAGCACAGAGCCCCATGCAGGGCTCGAACTCAAGAACTGAAAAAAAAAAAAAAAAAAAAAAAAAAAAAAAAAAAAACAAGAACTGCGAGATAATGATCTGAGTCAAAGTCGGAGGCTCAACAGACTGAGCCACCCAGGAGCCCCTATAATTGCTTTTTAAAGAAGAATAAAAATAGCAATGCAAGTCAGGATTGTCTTAGTAACTGGCACAACAAACCTGTGAGATGAGTTACTTGGGGTAGATTAAGTCACATAGGCCAGATGGAGATATATGTAGATACTTCTAGACTACAGGTATCCCATGACTTCCATTTCTACCCTCACAAGCTATGAAACTAGTTTCTTTAAAGGGACTTGTCCGTGGTACTGAAATACTGACCCCCGCCCCCACCTCCCCCAAACAGGTTGGCTTTGATCTGCACTGGGAAAGAATTACTGAGTAGAAAGATCTCTGCAAAAAATGAATGTCTTTCAGTCTCTTGTATAGAGTCTACTTTTGTAAATATTATAATTTTCATCAGATTTATTTAGGTTATCCAAATACTTTATTACCCTAGGGCTCTTAGGGTAATTTAGCCAGAATGAAAATTCTGACTTACCATTTCAGTCTGGCAAAGTATATACTAGAGCAGATGATGATTACATGGTTATGTTTTTGATCCCTTGCTTTTTCTTTTATTCTTCCAATACTTTCTCTCTTCTCCTTACCTATCTTGCATAAACCAAAAGTTTAGGACCCAGCACAACTTTTATTATATCTTTTGACCAGCTGAAAAGAAAATAGAGCTTTAAATAGTTTTGTTCATCTAATGTCTACCTGCATAAGGCTTCTGCACAAAAATAATATAACCCCAAAGGTCGAAATATTTTTAAAAAATCAGTCAGTAAGCGTCCAACTTCAGCTTGTCATGATCTCACCGTTGATGAGTTCGAGCCCCGCATCAGGCTCTGTGCTGACAGCTCGGAGCCTGGAGCCTGCTTCAGATTCTGGGTCTCCCTCTCTCTCCCTCTCTCTCTGCTCCTCCCCCACTCACACTCTGTCTCTCTCTCCAAAATAAATAAACATTAAAAAAAAAATTAAAAAATCACTCAGGACTGGTAAGGCTGCCAAAAAGCTGTTTACCTTACTTAATTTAATCACTGTTGAGGGCATTTGTAATGAACTCAATAAAGCAGTCTGTGCATTTAGACCAAGCTTTAACACTAAGTAAAAAATCCACAGGTTAAGTTCATTATGTGTTGCTAACATCAGCTATCTGGCTTTTTCAATTGTTCAACATTTCTTAAGAAAGTTAGCCTGTCAAACAGAATAAGAAAAATAAATAAATACATACTCCTAGGGCAGGTCTTGTCTGTGAGCACAGGGGACTCACTGCCAGCCTTGTAAGCAATCTAGCACATCTCTTGTAATCTAGGAAAACATTTAAAGGTTAATTACATATATGGTTACTACAAGTGTCGGGAAAACCATGTTATTATTGTCACTGATTAGTAACGAGAGCTACAATTTAATAAGCACCCAACACAACAAATGTTTAACCGGGGTCTTTTCATGAATTCTCCTCCTAACACAATCAGGGAGATGTTACTGTTGTTCACTTAAGAGTCAAACAGGAAAACCCAGCGTCCAAATGTCAAGAATCTATCTCATACCCAGCGAGCAGCCTGAGTCCAAAGAGCAAGATGCCCCACTGTGCCGTGGGATCACTCAGTCTGCTTTGATTCCGGTGTGATTCATTTCCCCAAGTCATTGAACACAAGCAGTTTTGAAAAAAATTATAACAACTCGGACTCAACAACCTGAGTAAAATTGAATATTCCTCGAGATGGCCAATCTAGTGAAGAAGAAGCAAAGTGCTTAAAATCCATTTACCTAAAAAGGGAAGTTTAGGTTCAGAAAGGAATTTAAAAACAGCTGAATTAGCTCACGTGATCATGATTTAGGCAGTTTCAATGACAGCATTTAAAATACTACGTTTGAAATGACTATTAACTTCAGTAACTTAAGTGTCCAAAAGAATTCCTTAGAGCAACCCTTAAAACACTATGCTACCATTGTTGAGAACAACGGATCACTCGTTGTATAAATGATACAATATGAAACTGTTTAAAACAACTTAAGAGGAAATTCTGACTTCCCTTTCACCATCATCCTATTTTTGTGTTTCATTTATATGACAAAGCACTTTATGCCAAGGAATTTGAAAAACGATAAAAGGTTGAAATCTCCGACAAACATTTCATCCAGTAAGGAAATCTGGCTATTTTCAGATTTGGATCTAGTCCCAATTATGAAGTTCCGTTCCTTACACCGTCAACGACACACACAAACGTTACTTAAGTACTGTCAGTGTTATAAATAGCATCTCATACAATGTTTAGTCTATTTCCAGCCACAGAGAGTGGAAGTTTAAAATTACATGCATTTATTGCTGGAAACAGACTTTTTCTAAAAGAAAAAAAAAACAACACACAACTATCCAAACTACTTACAAGCTGGCGTTGAACAATCCCTGGTATTGTGATACAGTCGATGGAAATGTATGCTACATTCATCTGGAAACGTGATTGGCCCTATGGGAAAAGAAAAGAACATTTATGATAAACATAGGCATGTTTTCCAAACAGATTTGCTAGCCTTTATGGGTGGAGATATTACAACCGTAGCTTAACATCCTTCCATGCCCTTAAAAGAACTTGTCTGGAAGCACTTCTGCCTCTGTGGGAGGCAGTACACTGTAATCTGTGAAAAATCATCTAAATTCACTATCAATTCTCAACATTCCACATAATGGAACCTTCAGTTTCTAAAGAACTCTTCAGAATAACTAAGAGAGAAAAGCTCTAGACAGAAAAAAAAAAATCTCTAGAAAGCAAATCAAGAGGATGTGAAAAATAAAAAATAAATATCTTTGGTCCCCTCTTTCTGTTCTTCAGTTTTTTAATTTTTTTAAATATTTATTTATTTTTGAGAGAGGGAGACAGACTGCGAGCAGGGGAGGGGCAGAGAGACAGGGAGACACAGAATCTAAAGCAGGCTCCAGGCCTGAGCTGTGAGCACAGAGCCAGACGCGGGGCTCAAACTCACGGACCGGGAGATCATGACCCGAGCCGAAGTCGGATGCCTAACTGACTGAGTGCCACTCAGGCACCCCTCTTCAATTTTTTATTTAATAGGAATTAATGTTTATATGCAGAGAGCCTTATTCCATTTTCTAATTATAGTAATTTGTGTCTTATTAGTGTCAAGGACTATTGTAAAGTGAATAGGGCCTTGAGACTTCCTTTTTATTGCCACAAATCCCAGACAGTCCCCACCAAAATTCACCTCTATATCTGGAGTCTGGCTTTCTGGGAGTGGTAGAAGGGCCCACAGTGGCATGAACAGAGTACCTAGACACAATACTGGGAAATTCCTTACACTTGCTGGGGCTCAGGGGGGTCTTGGCTTGATACGCAAAACCATTGTTCTGAAGTTGATTAACGAACATGGCCGCTGGCTTCGGTTAAGTGGGGAAAACTGTATCTTCCCCAGCTAATAGGCCTGAGATGTAAACTAAGGAAAGGTAGCTGGGACGATTAGGAATGGCCAGGCAAGAGGAATGGTCAGGATGGGGGTGCTTGGTTCAAAACAATTTAGTCATTTGCTAGCACTGGAGGCACAGGATGCTTTCCAAGGGTCTCACAAAGTTGATATGAAGAACAAAACAATGTCACAGAAGAGTATTCCATGCTTAAGGTATGGTGTACGAAAGCCCGCCTTTCCCCTAGACAAAAAAACCTCTATTGCCCCCATCAGCTGGAGAGCTTGGTCTAAACTCCTTACATTCTCTTTAGGACTCTTCACAGTATGACTCTAGCCTACATTTTCAGCCATAGTTTTACCCAGTGGCCACACACACCTTTACCTAACCATACCCCACAGTGCACCCACACCGTCTACCTGTCCTGCCCCCAAACTACCATGTTCTCAAAGAATTCCTTGTGACCAGAATGCTTCTCTCATCCAGGAAAGTACCAGTCATTCCTTAGAGCCCAACATAAGTACAGTGTCGACAACAAGCCTATCCTGCTGGTTCTTGGCAAAATTACTCACTTTCTGTGTATCCCTAAAACTGTATTTACACTTCTATTACTTACCAAGGTCGGGATTATATCACCATTAATTCAAGTTAATGGCATCTGTCCACTTCCCTAACTGGACTGCTGAGATTCTTACAGACATTTCCCTTCAAATGCCAAGTGCCTAACACAGTAATTTGCACACAATCCTTTTATTTAATTGAGTCACTGGTAAATTTCGTGCTTACCTGTGAAATGCTTTATTAATTTGTCTTTTAAGTTTGAATCTTTTAGGAACATTTCTGCAAAGAAAAAAAAAGTTTTAGGATCTGTGGGAGGCATTTCCATCATGAAAAACATCCTTACAAATAGGCTATAACGACAGGCACCTGACTCATGAACTCACAGTGGGTCATGCAGCCGATTCCAAATCTGTATCTCTAGCCCTGAAGGTTCCCTGGGGGCTCGAGACCTCCCCCGGGGCTACCCGCTTGCCCCTACCACTCTATCCAGGAAACTTACAGGCCTCTCAAAAGTACACAGCCAGACCTGAACGTCTGATTTCCCTGCTGTCCCAGACTCGCATCTCCCCCACACTCCCTGGTCTCCTACCTGGCATCACTCTTTACTCTTGGCTCGGGCCAGATATCAAGAAGACATGCTTGACTTTCCTCTTTCCCTCTCTGCTATATACGATCCATTACTTGATTTCATACATTCCACCTCCAAAAATGATCTGAGACCCATACACCTGTGTTTCCTCTCATTACCACGAGACTGGTCCAAGCCGTCATGCTTTCATGACTGTACCCGGCCAACAGCCTCCTGATGGGTCTTCTCCGTCCCCAACCCACTCTCCCCATCACAGCGGGAACAAATGAACGGAAATGGGCTCCAGGCCAGGATGTTCTCCCACTTAAAGGGCTTTGCACTTCAGTTTTTTTTTTTTTTTTTTTTTTTTTTTTTTTTTTTTTTTTTTTTACTTTTATTTTAGTTATTTATTTTGAGAGAGAGAGAAAGCGCAAGCACGGCAGGGGCAGAGAGAGAGTCAGAATCCCAAGCAGGCTCTGTGCTGCCAGTGCAGAGCCGGATGCAGGGCTGGAGCACACGAATCACGACCTGAGCCCAAGTCAGACGCTTAACCGACTGAGCCACCCAGGCGCCCCAAGGGCTTGGCACTTTAAATAAGTGAATATAAAAACTCAAAGTGCATCCCACCCTTCACCTTGTATTCCCTATAAATACACCGCCCAGACAATGCTATTTATAAAAACAGTTGGGGAAGTATGCGCCACTCTTCTAGAGGAAAAGAAAACACGTTAAAAAATCTTGAACCTGATGTTTGTTGGCAGTGGCAGATTTAAACCTTCAATGTCCTTATAACTGAGTCCTGTGCGCGTCGAACATCAAATGAGTCTAATGGGGGCGCGAATGCTTGTCACCTCCCTATAAGTGAGTCGGAATGACCACACTGATTTGTGTGGCCTTGTTGAGACAGGCACTGTAAAACGAAGACTCGGGAATGCTAACGCCCTTTACATCCTACAGTTAATGAGGGCTGTGAGAGCCCCTCCTTGCCTGGGCGGCTCCCTGCTCCCCGCAGCCCTGTGTCAGCCCAGAACAGCATTGTCAGGGCGGTAGGCCTGCGGCTGGAGTGGAGCTCCCCTCCCCCTGACAACAAACATCTACACTTTATGACCCATCCAAACTAATCCAGAAAAACAAAGCAACCGTGACAATGTAAATATCTCTTTATATAAATATCTCGGTGTTCTCATCCGTTAGAGTCCAGCTTGAACATGGGTCCTTCCTCCATATCTCTCTGCAACCTCTCAGCCAATTGCTGAGCCAGTTGGCTCCTGTGGTGTCAATACTCCAGGTTTTATCTGGCAAAGCAGCTCCCCTGGCCCTTTCTGAAAGCTGGGCCGGCCGAGTGCAGAAGGAGCACTTTGGCGAAAGCGTGTTCGAAGATCAGAGTAAGTCTAGTTCCAAACGTATTTTCCACTATAATTTTAGTATTTAGACCTGGCACGACGGTGACACTCGGGTTTGGAAGGTATACGTTTTAATTTTTTTTTAAGTTTACTTATTTTTGAGAGAGAGAGAGACAGAGTGCCAGTGGGGGAGGGGCAGAGAGGGGGAGACACAGAATCCGAAGCAGGCTGCAGGCTCCGAGCTGTCGGCACGGGGCCGGAACCCACGGACCACGAGATCATGACCTGAGCCGAAGTCGGACGCTCAACCGACTGAGCCACCCAGGCGCCCCGGAAAGGTACACATTTTAAATAAATTACCCCCTCTTGTACACCCCCACTGCACACTTTCTAACTTCTATAAAGGAAATTGTCACATTCCGATTAGCATAATAGTGAACTGTGGACATGTCTGGCTCCAAGCAATATTGTGGGCTCTTATGTTTGTAAGTTTATTTATTTATTTTGAGAGAAAGACGGAGAGGGCAAGCAGGGGAGGGGCAGAGAGAGAGAGAGAGAGAGAGAGAGAGAGAGAGAATCCCAAGCAGGCTCTGCACTGTCAGCGTGGAGCCAGATGCAGGGCTCAAACCCACAAACTGTGAGATCATGACCTGAGCAGAAACCAAGAGTCAGACCCTTAAGTGACTGAACCACCCAGGCACCCCTATTTTGTACCTATGTCTAATGATATAATATATAATTATGAAAAACAATTATGAGAAGTTTAACCAATACAAATGCCTATGTCAAAAATCAATGCATTACTGGATTATGTGAAACACTGAATAAAAACTTGTGGTTGGTATATTTATTTGCAGCCCCCTACGGGCAGCACACATCAGTCTCACTAGGCCCACCTTCAAGACAGTAAGTGATGTCTGTTGCCTAAACTGACCCTGTTATCAGCGCCAGTAAAGAAAAGGCCCAAAGCAAGGAAGAGGGTGGAAAACCAGAGTCAGACACTGGACCGACCCAGCCACCCATGCGCCCTCATGGGCTTCTTAAGGAAAGGGACGATGTCTTGTTCATGTGTTATCACCTGCAGGATGTACAATAGTGCCTTGCGGACGGAACATCTAGGAAATGTTTAAGGAATTAAAAGCTGAGAGGATGACCCCTTGAGGAGGTTGTTACCTTTGAAATGAAAACAATCAATGCTTTGCTTGAGCTCAGACAGGTCGCCAAGAGAAACCATACTTTTAATACACTGGAATTGTCATTTCAAAGTACAAACATAACATAGGAACACATAGCAGGTTGACGTGAAGGAAACAGAGAAGTGATCATTAAGTTGACACCCCAAGCGATAAGCAAGAGATGTCTAGGTAAGAAGAGACGGGACGAACGCCCCAGAACAACAACAAAGAAAGGAGATCTCCAGTAAGATGAAGACTGACGGGTGTCTCCTGGCCGACGAGCGGAGCCCAGGGGCGCGATGGGCAGGAACAGAGAACGGAGGGCCAGCCGGCACCCGGGCAAAGGTGGTGAAGAAGGGGAAATCATGCCTTTCCAGTTCCTGTATTTCTGAGGCTTTAACATCTGAAGCCTTGATGGCCCCGGAGAGATGGCCCCTCTCGGAGCTGGCCAGCGATTCCGGAGAAAGGAAAGCCCGAGCGCACCTTTCATCTGCAAACCAACCAATCCACAGCCCAGGCCCCTACGACTGGCCTCATCCAGTCCTCACAGTCAAGGCCAATATTCCCCCACCCTCATTCCCCAGGGCCAGGAACCAAACAGGTACATACCGCCCTACACTCCGGAGCCCGCCGAAATCATTCCAACTGGCCGGTCCTAAACCAGCTCACCTTGCCCCTCCTGAAGAAACCACTCTGCTCCCGACCAAACCTGGCGCCTCCCCCTCTGCCCCTAGGGGCACGCCGTGACCCGGTTTCTAGGGAACTGTGAGCAAAACTTCTTCCTTCACGACAGTCATTTCCAGGTCTTGCCACGCCCGACTGAAAACAAATCCCGCGTACATCTCAAAACACGAGCGGTGGTGGATACAGGCATACCTTGAAAATATTCCAGGTTCGGTTTCAGACCACCACAGTAAAGCAAGCCAAGTTCATCTCTGCTTTCCCAGTGCCTACGAAGGTTATGTTTATATTATACTGTAGTCTGTTAGGCGTGCGATAGCATTACGTCTTTTTTTTTTTTTTTAAAGTACATCTTGGGGCGCCTGGGTGGCTCTGTCGGTTAAGCGTTCGACTTCAGCTCAGGTCATGATCTCACAGTTCGTGAGTTCGAGCCCCGCGTCGGGCTCTGTGCTGACAGCTCAGAGCCTGGAGCCTGCTTCCGATTCTGTGTCTCACTTTCTCTCTCTGCCCCTCCCCCGCTCATGCTCTATCAAAAAATGAATAAATGTTAAAAAAATTTTTTTTTCTTAAAGTACATATCTTAATTAAAACATACTTGGGGCGCCTGGGTGGCTCAGTCGGTTAAGCATCCGACTTCAGCTCAGGTCACGATCTCACGGTCTGTGGGTTCGAGCCCCGCGTCGGGCTCTGGGCTGATGGCTCAGAGCCTGGAGCCTGCTTCTGATTCTGTGTCTCCCTCTCTCTCTGCCCCTCCCCCGTTCATGCTCTGTCTCTCTCTGTCTCAAAAATAAATAAACATTAAAAAAAAAAAATTAAAAAAAAAAAACATACTTTATTGCTGAAAAGTGCTATCACCTGCGGCTTCAGCAAGTCATAATCATTTTGCTGCTGGGGGGAGGGGTCTTGCATCACATGATGGCTGCTGACTCATCAGGCTGGTGGCTGCTGAAGGCCGAGGTGGCTGGAGCCATTTCTTAAAATAAGATAGGACAACAGTGAAATTTGCCGGATCACCTCATTCTCCCTTTCATGAACGATGCATGTGATGCCGTTTGATAGCATTTTGTTCACGGCAAAACTCCTTTGAAAACTGGATTCAATTTTCTCAAATCCTGCCACTGCTCTATCAACAAAGTGTATGGAACATTCTGAATCCGTGACTGTCAGTTCAACAGAATTCACAGCATCTTCACCAGGAGGAGTAGGTTCCATCCTAAGAAACTACTTTTCTTGGCTCATCCGTGCGAAGCAGCTCCTGATCCGTAAAAGTCTGATCGTGACATGGCAGCAATCCCGTCACGTGTTCAGGCTCCACTTCCGGCTCTACTTCTCGTGCTGTTTCCATCGCACCTGCACTTGCTTCCTCCCTGAAGTCCGGAACCCCGTAATGTCATCCATGAGGGTTGGAAGCAACTGCTCCCAAAACGCTTGTCCCTATTGATATTCTGACCTGTTCCCGTGCGTCACGAATGTTCTTAATGGCATCTAGAACGGTGAGTCCTTTCCAGAAAGGTTTCCGATATGCTCACCCAGATCCATCACAGCAGTCACTGTTTGGCAGCTATGGTCTTGTGAAATGTACTGCTTAAATGATAAGCCTTGAAAGTCCAAATTACTCCTTGACCCATGGGCTGCGGAACGGATGTTGTGTTAGCAGACCTGCTAACGACATTAATGTCATTCTACGTCTCCATCAGAGCTCTTGGGTGACCAGGTGCATTGTCAATGAGCGGTAATATTTTGAAAGGAAATCTTTTTTCGAGCGCTGGCTTCCATTTAGAGTCACCAGCTGCATTAGCCCTAACCAGAGAGTTATCCTGTCCTTTGAAGCTCTGAAGGCAGACGTTGACTCCTCTCCAGCTATGAAAGTCCTAGATGGCATCTCCTTCCAATAGAAGGCTGTTTCATCTGTATTGAAGTTCCGTTGTTTAGTGTAGCGACTTACATTAATGATCTCAGCTACACCTCCTGGATAACTTGCCGAAGCTTCCACATCAGCCCCTGCTACTCAGCTTTGCACTTTTTTATTACGCCGACGGCTTCTCTCCTTGAGCCTCAGGAGCCAACCTCTGCTCGCCTCCAACTTTTCTTCTGCGGTCTCTCAGCGTCCGTGGAATCAAAGAGAGTTCGGGACCTTGTTCCGGTTTAGGCTTTGGCTTAAGGGAATCTCGTGGCTGGTCTGATCTTCTCTCCAGGTCATTGAAACTTTCCCCATGTCAGCAATAAGGCTGTTTTGCTCTTGCATCATGTGTGCGTTCGCTGGAGTAACACTTGTCATTTCCTTCAAGAACTTCGCCTTGACAGTCGCAACTTGGCTAACTGTTTGGTGCCACAGGCCTAGCTTTGGGTCTGTCTTGCCTTCCTCACCAAGCTGAAGAGTTTCCAGCTTTTGATTGACAGACATGTGTCACTCCTTTCACTTGAACACTAAGAGGCCACGGCAGGATTGTTAACTGGCCTAATTTCCGATACTGTAGTGTCTGGGGAATGGGGACACCCGAGGAGAGGGGCCAGCAGTGGTCTCATAAGCGGCCCCTCCCCACTGCTCTGGCCTCACGTCGCCTTGCCTTACTTCCGTTGTCACCACACCGTCTCCTGGCCTCCCCACCCCACCCCCCACCCGTGTCCCCCAGAGGCTGAGGTAGAGCTGGGCTGCGTGAAGCGGCCAAAACAATGTTTCCCCAGAGTGGGCTCCTTCAAAACCAGTTCTGTGAGCTGCAAATAAAGAATAAACGCTAGATTTTGAAAAGAGAGAGAAAGAGGGGGG